AATCGCCTTCTCATTCTCAGGGACATCTTGTGCTAGGGCCGTCGACACTTCCAGTTAGACAGCATATTTGTGATCTTCTGTTTAGAGCAAACATGATGAATCGCATGTACAAAGAGAGGATAAAATTACGGCTTTTCTGGGAACAAGAGCTGCTGCGAATGGAACAACGAGAGAAAGGCACCTCACCTGCAATGTCAGCTGTTAGGTTCCTTCGTGAAAACGAAATGTGCAAGTAAGTTTGAATGGTTGTTGAAGTTTTCTTCGCAGTTGTTTTCCTTCCTTGTTTCCTTGAGCAGGGGTCATCTTCGTGCCGCCGGGGAGCGGAGTTGGTTTTGGCACCCTCAGCGAGGGTCCTCGTCAATGGGAAATATCTGAATTTTTTCAAGGAGCAGTGATTTGAATGCTCGCAATTAGTATATGCTCCCATACCTCTCTCTTTTCCCAGGTCAACATTTGTTTTAATAAGTTGAGTGTAAAAGGATAGGAAAAAAATTGTGGATCGATTTCAAAGGGTGCTATTTGGAGACACATTGAGGGCATCCCGCGTTCGAAAATGGTGAGCTAACGGCGGAAATACTAGTGACGGGGTGATAGTCAGCACAGTCGTGAAGGAAAAATCAGAAAAAAAAACCGCAAAATGTCCATATATAATCCCATGCTAAGCCCTTGTACGTGCATTAGACGAAGAGTAGGCCTGGTCGGACGAGGACGAGTTCTCACTTGTTGGTGCCAAACTTTCCTCCTTATCACCTCGCTCTGACCTTTCAAATGGAGAGAGATAGTAGTGGAACAACCGCACCACCAGGAAGCCTTCAGAAGTGATAGTTGGGCGTGGTCGTGACTAGTGGGGGGGGGGAGGGGCGTGGCGTCGCCGCGAGCCAGTCACGTTTTCCTCACGTAATCTTGAGCCGTGAAAATACATCGTCCTTGTTCGCGGACGGGACTACCATGTCCAGAGGAGGCGTCTGGACTTCCAGTGAACTGCTTCTAGGGCCGTAGTAAAGAGGGGGGAGGGGGTGCTGTTGAACAGTCAGTTTTCCTCAACACCGTAGGGTACCCTGGTCCGTAATCTCACCCAGTCTGTAACAGCAATGAGGAGTATTACTCTATGGATTAAATTGCAGTGCTCAAATCTTGGAAGAGTTGGACGAACCTCTGAAACCAATGGATCGTAATGAGTTCGTGGAACGGAAGAACAAGTCAATCAACCAGATGTTTAATAGACACAAGATGGAGGCCAGCTCACTTTTTGGATTACAGGTAATTTTCGCCAATAATTTGTTGATATCGCGAACAGTTTTTATATCTGATTATTAATATGTTTGATTATATTCAATTATATCAATTATATTTACAGCGCGACATGTGGTTGTGTGAGGCTCGCCGTCGTGGCCTAGAGGTGAATCCTGAATGCATCAAGGAATGCGTTCCTATGGTCAAAGCTGAAAAAACGGATTTTCCCTACTGAAATTAAAATAAATATGTAATCAGGTGGCGCAATGAAGTGAACTAATTTTGAGACGAGTCACTATCGAACTTACAAGTCTACTACTAATTTTGCTGACCTTGCT